GTCTCACTCTGTCACCCAGGCTGGAGGGCAGTGGCACACTCCTGGCCACCGCAGCCTCGATCTGCTAGGCTCCGGTGATCCTTCTGCCTCAGCCTTCCAAGTAGCCAGAACTACAGGTGCATGCTTCCATGCCCGGCTAATTTTTGATTTATTGTAGAGACGAGGTTTCCCCAAGTTGTCAGGGTAGGTCTCGGACCCACAGGCTCAAGCAATCCTCTCGCCTTGGCCTCCCAAAGTGCTGGGATTACAGGCTGAGCCACTGAGCCCGGACTCGATTTTTTTTTTAGTGGTTGGAGTCTCATTCTTGTTGCCCAGGCTGGAGTGCAGTGGCATGCTCATGGCCACCACAGTCTTGACTAGCTGGGCTTAGGCAATCCTTCTGCCTCAGCCTTCCAAGTAGATGAAAATACAGAAGCATGCCATCACGCCTGGCAAGGTTTTGTGATTTATTGTAGAAACAAGGTCTCACCAAGTTGCCCAGGCTGGATTCAAACCCCTGGGCTCAGGCAATCCTCTTGTCTTGGCCTCCCAAAGTGCTGGGATTACAGCCTGAACCATTGCACTCGGCCTGGATTTTTTTTTTTTTAAAGAGACGAGTTTTGTTGCCCAGTCTTGTGTGCAGTGGGGCAATCAGAGCTCACTGCAGCCTTGAATTTTGGGCTCAAGCAATCCTCTGCCTCAGCCTTCTGAGTAGCTAGCACTATAGGTGTGTACCACCACACCCAGCTAATTAAAAAAGTTTTTTTACAGAGAGGAGTTCCTGTTATGTTGCCCACGCTGGTTTCAAACTCCTAGCTTCAAGTGATCCTCTTGCCTTGGCTTCACAAAGTGTTGGAATTACAGGCAGGAGCCCCTGTGCCTGGCCTAGAAATTTGTTTTATAGAAACAAAAACAGAAGTTTGTTAAAATAAAAGTAGAAGGATGCACATTGCAGCATTAAAGAATTATGATGTGGTCTAATTTTGGTTTTAATTTGGCATAAAAAGTTGTTTATAAGTGCTCTACTTGCTTCTGGACATTAATTTCTCTCCAGAGCTAATCCATTAGTAAATCTTACCTCTTTTACCTCCAAAATGTATTTTATATTTGTTCATGCCTGTCCACCTAAATTTTTTCTCCTGGTCAATAAACATAGATCAATCTATTAAAATTATATAATATTCTTAATTTTGGATATACCATACTTTATTTAAATATACTACCACTGTTTTAAATCTTTTGCTATATAATTAATAATTAACAGGTATTATGATAGTATGACTTAGTAATACTATGAATTACAGAAAAGATTTAACGTTACATTTAAAAAAGACTGCATACAGCTACTTGGAAGGCTAAAGCAGAAGGATCGCCTGAACCCAGCAGGCTGAGGCTGCAGTGGCCATGAGCGTGCCACTGCCCTCCAGCCTGGGTGACAGAGTGAGACT